CTTTCTTTCTTTCTTTCTTTCTTTCTTTCTTTCTTTCTTTCTTTCTTTCTTTCTTTCTTTCTTTCTTTCTTTCTTTCTTTCAATCAATCAGTCAATTTATATGATCACCCCCTCTCCAAGCAAGATACTCTGAATTGGGACATCAGTAAGTGCATAAAAATGAGCAGCTTTGTTTAAAAGCTCTGCTGCGGGCAGGGGTGTTTGCAGGGAGGGGAGTCAAAAAAGTCAAGATGGCAGGCACAACCATGCCATCTGGACTGTTTTAACCCCCTGTGGACCTCCCTGCCTGCAGGTTTATAAGCAAAAGGGAAAAGAAACATCATGAGATTATTGGTTATGTGAGAATTTTGCATATGGTAGCCCTCTCCAGCCTGGGTTTGCCATCTAGAGAGGGCGATAGCTTTCCTTTTGCAGAAGGCGCAGGATGCAACACGTTTAGGAAAAGAGGAAGACACTGCAGTTGCGAAAGACGTGCCACTTTGCAGAAGATTTGCAAATTAGCCGTTGCAGTTCGCCCAAGTTGCAAAAAGTTTGCCGGTCAATTTAGCGTAGTGGCGAAGGGACCAGAGAAATCTGGATTCAAATGTTCATGTATCTACTGATCTGACTGCCAATCCTGGAATTTCACTCCAAGTTACATCCTCAGGGTTGTTCCGGGGATAAAATTAGGGAAAGACCCATGTAAGCCACCATGAGCTCTCAGAGGAAAGGTGGGATAGGGATAGAGGCCCCTGTTTTATATTTTAGCATTCATCTCATTTTGTACTTTTGTATTCTATTTTATCTTACCCTGTTTTATCTCACTCTTTGTCATGGGAAGTAGGAATAACCTTGAGGGGCAGGATCAAGACAACGGTCATTATATCTGCTTTCTCTTATAAAAAAAAGATTTTATTTTACGAAGAAAAGACTTTTTAAATTCTTTTATAAAGAGAAAAGAAATTATAAAGAGCAAAGCAGATATAATGGGAGGCAAGAGTAACCTTGAGGAACAGGAGGAAGAGCCGCAGCCAAGACAATGGTCGGTTAAGAGAAATCTGAGTCCAGGGCAGAACTCTAATCTGAGAAAGCCTCTCAGACAAGACCCTCCTTAGTTCTCGTGAAGATAAAGGGAGGGAAGGGGGAAGCATATTCGGACTTGCAAGATTCTGTTGCTGTAACCTTATTTATTTATTTGTTTGTTTATTTGAATTTATTAGCTGCCCAACTCCAATGGACTCTTCATACTAAAAGTAGTATTGACATTCATAACTTTGGTTTTCTGGTCCAGTCTACCTCGAAGGACTGACATCAGCCTTGCAAGTCCAGATACGCTCCCCCCCCCCCCCCCTTTTATCTTGGTGGGAACTAGGGAGGGTCAAGTCCAAGCTGCTTTCTCAAACTACATTTCTTCCCCAGACTCGGATTTCTTTTATCTGACTGTTGTCTTGGTTGCGGCTCTTCCTCCTGTTCCTCAAGGTCATTCCTTCTTCCCATTACACTCTTACTCTTATTTTATCTACCTTACTCTATTCTATCTCACTTAATGTTACCTTCTCTTATTTTATTCTGTTTTATTGCGGCTGACGCCCATTGCTTCTTGATACGGTCAATTGACTAATCAGTACAGCTGTACAATAGACGCCCTGAAAGTAGTGATTCTTGTTCCCCCTCCGTTCTTGTTATTATGCATGTGGGAATGGCCTTGGGAGGTAGGAGAAGGCACTGCAGCCTAGACAATGGTCTCATAAATAAAATTTGGGCCGGTGGGGGAGGAATGGAGAAAGCATCTCAGAAGGGACCCTCCCTAGTTTTTGGGAGAGTAAAGGTGGGGGATGAGAGGGGCATTTTCAGACTTGAAAGATTCTGTTAATGCAGTGTTTCTCAACCTTGACCACTTGAAGATGGGTGGACTTCAACTCCCAGAATTCCCCAG